AGGGGGTCAGGCTAGATGATCTGTTCAGGTCCCTCCTGACCCTTGCTACTATGAAACTATGAAAAGCAGTATTATCATCAGGGACAGTGAAAGCACTTCTGTGATGCATATGATCGAGGTTCTTTGGTTCAAGAACAGGGACAGAGGGGGTAAGCTGTCCTTTCAGTGGACTACGATCAACTCTGTTGTACACATTGGCCATTAAGATAATAACAAGAGGGATAACACAGAGTACAAAGAGGAGCCCAGTGCATGAAGATACATATCTGTGACTGTGCATAGCCATTACGAGTGCAAGTGCAGGTCAAGAGCAGATTTGTAATGATCAGTAAGGTTTTCGCCTAATATCCCCAAAAGCTGTTATCCCCTGTCTGGCTGCCTCAGAGGCACCTAGTGAACTGTACTCTCCTGCAGCAGGATTTTATATACCTAGCTGCAGAATCCCAGTATGCACATTTTTCTATAGAAGACAAAAAATCCTGGGGCATGAAGGCCCCATAAAATGTCTCTTTGTTGGCCTCATTATCATATCAGCTGTTTAATTATTTTTGAGGGAGCTCTATCTGTTTATGTCCAAAATGAGAGCAATCCCTCACTGAGCACAGCACATGCCCAAAAGAGGCAGTGCACTAGTTGCACCCAGCTTTCCCAACATCTGTACAGATCAGGTGCTTCAGTGGGGATTTTTTGGCACTTTGATAACTGCCAGTTGAATCAGCTTTAGCTAAAAGCACCAAAAAGCCCCACTGAAGTGCCTGATTTATACAGATGCTGCAGAACTGGGTTGAAGTAATGCACAGCTATTTCCAGTAAACGCGTATTTTTTCCCTACGTCTCTCAGCGACCACAGCGACCAGCAGCACCTCACCTCAGATGGTCCTTATACATTGATATAACAAGATTATTTTTTGTTTGATCAAAGTAGGCATTTACATGGGGTGCTGTTTTTCAATTGATATAATGTTTTTATGCTCAAAACGTATGTTGGTTTCTGTTTGGTCCTCTTGTAGCAGAAAGCCCCCTTTTCCTCTTGCCTGCATTTGCTCTCCCCTCTTTAAATATGTTTTTCCTCTTCTACCTTTTCTTCCTTCCTCTTTCTTTCACTTTAAGATAAGGAATTGTGTTTTAAATTTTGGATGTGTGCATTTTGTATCTCCCCTTGTATTTTGGTATTTTTTATCTATTTGTGTGCCATGGCATTACATTTGTAGCTTATATTTTATACTACTCACCTTTCAACTTTCAACTATAAATGTGTTTAGTAACAATGTTAACAAGGGCAGGAGTCAAACTGCCGCTTCCCTGTATCAGGCTGGCCCCTGAAAGAGCGAGTGAGTCAGTGATCGAATGTGTAACACAGCAGCAGGCAGCAATTAACACCTAAGGAAACTGCAGATCAACCAAAGGAAGAATTCAATAGAAGACAATGTAGTAACCAGGACATCTCTAAATGTCACTGACCAAGGGCTAGAAGCCCTGGCCTGAGTTAATCAACGCCGGGGACCAACTTTTGGGCTGAATATCTCCAGATCGACCGTTCCCAGAGCCCTATTCAAAATTCATCAATGGACTCCCAAACCTGCACGTACATGCAGACAACCCCTGGGGCTGACAGATGCCATCCAGTTGCCACCCAGGGGGAAGTCCCACAAGGGTCAATGACCCCTGGATTGGGCAAACCTGAAAACTGGGGAGTCACCAAAAGTCTGCCAAGGACAGATAAAAAGCAGTGAAAAGTGACCCTCAGGGGCGCCCTCTTGATCTCCAACTCAACCAGACCTGTCCAGCCAGAAGGACCAGCCGGCAACCCCCTTCTGGAGGATAACACCACACTGAAAGGAGCCTCGACTGGCCATCAACGGCAGACTCCAGTGCTTGTAGGATAGGTATATTTGACTCTTGTAGCTTGCTACTGTGTGTGTGTGGGGGGGGAACCAGCCCTGAGGTTTATGATTTAACTTCATTACAGTGTTTCAATTCGCCTAATAAACCAGAATTTAAGGATCCCGAGTTAGACATTTGTAGCCAACACCCTGAGGCTATTCATCGGGGACACTTTGTTCTAACTTTTTAGTCTCTTTCAGTTAGATTGCTTAGTAAGCAGTTTCTCTGTTCCTCCTGCTTGCTAACTGAAGGACCTAACCTAAAACATAGGGACACAGATTTTCAGATGGAAAGCGTTTTTAGGA